GTGTCTTTGGGGTTTGTGGATATGCATAGTTTTCTAGCATGAAAGCTGAATGTGTTATTCTTTATTTTCTTTTTTTTTTTTCCTGTTTAAAATTGAGTAGATCTAAAGGGAACAGAGTCCTTTCAGGGTACCTGTAAATAAAGTATCAAACCTGACATTCACATGAAGGTAGCTAAAGCCTTTGGGTTGTCACTGAAAATAGAAAAGGTGAACGTTGACGAGATTTCAGATTTTTTTTTTTTTTATTCTGGGGAATGAGAGAAACTGAAGTTAAAAATAAAGTCCTCGTATGGTCAACATGTTGGAGGAAATTCAAAGCCTCTCATAAAATAAACATATTTTAAGAAGTGTTTTGAATTTCACTGTGTAATTTCTGGCCAACAGAAATTACAGTTGTATCTTTGGAGGGACGTTTTGTCAGATCAGTGGTCATTATGTGAAAAAAATAAACTGAAACCTGGATGCCTTTAACCCATTCAGCTGTTAAAAAATGTGAACTCCAAGGGGAACAGCTCTGCTACTGGAAAACTTTGCGCCACAGCGGTGCAATTCTGAAATATTTGGGTTTGATGTTACGGGAGATATGTAAAATATTCCTTGAAAAAAAAAAAAAAAAGAAAAAAAACAAGTACAAAGCTTTGTGCGCTTTGGGAAAGGAATTTCATCAGCGATTAATACAATTTATGTCCCAAAAAATGAAGGAAATTATCCAAAGCATGTGAATGAGCCTGGAGCATGCTGCAGGTGGTTCCTGGGTTATATTTAGCTGTAACCTTTGGAGCCTGGGAGTCTGAGGGCAATACCTGCTGTGCCAGGTGAGGGAGGTGTGCGTGTCTGCCAGCACACCCTGGTGTGGCCAACGTGCCCCTTCTTTTCCAGCAGCATTATTAAGCAAAGCCGTCCATACTTCACCATGTTGTTACATGTGTCTGTCTGCTGATTATAAAATGTGTTAAACAGTATTTAAAAAACAAAAAAATGCAGAGCTGCGCTTTGATTTATTCAGCGAACAAAACATATGCTCGCTGTTCTGTTCTATGTAATTCATATGATCAATAAAATTTTCTTTAAAAAGAGCAACTTTGGCATTTAGAAGGATTATGCTGCTGAAGGAAAAAAAAAAATGTTTCCCTCTTGCTGCATGCAGGCAACCTCAAGGCTCTTGCACGGAAATAAGTTTTTTGGCTGACTAATGTCTATTTTTGTGTATTTGTGATTTCTAATCCTCAGGATCGAGGCTGTGCATTGTGGCTGTTACCCGCTGTGTCCCAAAGCCTTGGTGTACCCAGAGATATTCCCAGGTAGCTGCTTTGTTGCCTATTCCTTCTGCTGAAACGCAATAACGTGATTCCTGCTAAAATCCAAAGTTTAGGAATAAACTTGAGTGAAAGCAATTGTTTATTTGGCAAGCCAACATGTTAGTGTTAAGGCAAATTTTATGTGTTTTAATACATTAGACGAAGTTTATATTTGCCATCTGTTCTTTTAAGATAACACAAAAGCAAGTTTTGAAATAGCATTCTTCATTGTTAGCGTACACATCCCATAATGATAGATTTTTGTTAAAAGGTCACTGATGCTGCAATGGTTTGCAGATTCTTTTTTTTTTTTTTATACACAGAAGAGGGGGGAAAAAAGAAAAAAGCCAGACCTGAAAATCACACCAAATTATTTAAACAATTTAATACTTAATAGTATGCAACTGCAGAACAGGATACACACTAATGTAGTACCAGTTCTTCGAAAAATCTCATCACTAAATGTATCACATATGCATTGTGTTACATTAGAATAATGTATTTTAATCACCCAAAGGAGATGTCTAAACAGCACAACTACACAGTCTTATTTAGCATTAAACATCCTTGTGAGCTGAGGTAACCTTATAAAATCATGCTTAAATAATGTAAAACACGAGGCGGCACAGAGCAATATGCATTTTTAATTAGTAAAGTGACTAATATCGAGTGTGTGCTTTGAGGTTTTTGTTTCATTAAAAATGTATCTGTTTTTCCTGCAGCTGAATATCTGTATTCTACACCTGAACAGCTTTTTAAAAGGCTTCAGAATTTCTGCAAGAGACCAGATATTGTAAGGAGACATCTCTATAAGGTAGTTGTTTGGAATAGTTTTAGATGATATAATGCCATATTGAAGTACAAAGGGGGAAAAAAAACCCTTAAAAAAACAACATTTAATTAACATACTAATGTTTAAAGGAAACATGCTAGGGAGGGATATTAGTCGTTACACTAACAAGGATTAATTAAACTAGATGCCAGTTGTATTAACCTAGGTCTTATGAAATACGTGCACTTAATGCATGCTACATGTTTTTTTTAATTTACTGTTTTCTAAAATGACTGTCCTTTACATTTGGACCCAAGAGGCTTATAAAAATGAACCTGGATTAATGCAACTCATTAGTTTAAAAGGAAAATAAAAGAAAGATCCTACAATTATACTAATGAGTATAAGCCTACCTTCCTATCCTAATTTAATCTTCAAAAAACGCAGGTGACAGGTATCAGGTAAGATTTCTGTGGCTTCTGGAATGACTTGAGTCGTTTTCATAATTACAATTATTTTAATTCTTTGCCTTAAAAGGTGTGTTGAGCATTAAAGTTTATTGGGAGCATAATTTACTGGTATTTATCATGTCCCCTTCTTTGCAGTCATTTCTGTAGAGAAAGTCCAGGTACAGTGGCAAAGTCTCCATTCAGGTTTTGCTCAAGTGTTCAATGCTAGGCCGACTTTCATGTTTTTAAGTGGTGTATTTACACTGATGGGAGCCACACTTTTTTTTTTTTTTTTTTTTTTAATTTGAATGTAGATGAAGCAGTAAATTTTACATTATTCCAATGAAGAATCGTTACTGCACAATGCTGCTTTCAGAAGAATAACTGCAGTTCTTTGCATGCTGCTTCGTACATTTACAGCGGTTTTTGACTTTTACTGTCCTGGGCAGGTTGGATACACATCACCCCTGCACGGCAGAGGTGTTTCAGCTCGTGAAAACCCCTGAATTCAGCTGAAAGTATGAAAGGCTTGGGGGGTGCATGGAAATGCTCCTCGTGTTAACCCTTGCGACACAAACGCGGTTCTGGGAGCGTTCCCTGGCTGTCGCTGTCCAGCCTCACTGTTAATGAGCAGGTCGAGTAATCTTCTCCTTAATTTGGAGTCTCATGCTGCCAACAGAGCCAGCCTCATGCCTCCACCTCCCTCCCTCCCTCCCTCTGGGGTCCAGAAAGTGTTGGGTCTTGCCCTGTTCTGTCTGCCCCTTCCTGCACACACCTAGCAGGAGCAGCGAGGGCTTAGCCCACGCCTTGACCTTTTTTGTGACCTAAAAATAGGCATTTACATAATGATGCATCAAAGATGATGTTGTTTCTGCAGGAAACAGTTAAACCTCAAGGAAAAAAAAAAAAAAAAAGGAGAGAACCAAAAATGCAATTTAACACCCAATTTCAAGCTCATTATCTTTCATTGTCTATTAACTTGGCAATGGTTCAGAAGGTAGCTCATAATAGTTTAAAATGCTGACTGAACACTTCCAGTGTTCAGCATTACTTCTTGAGTCAATAGTATCGTAGAGTTAGGCATGGGGGCTTCAAAGGGAAAGCAGTCCTTAAATGTTTACCTTGGCATTTCCCAATGCTTCAAGCTCAGCTAATGGTTGCATTCACATGGATCTTCTCCCATATGGATCCCCAGCTCCCAAACACAGAGCCAAGGCGTGCAAAAAATACTGATATAGAATAGTACAGGTCGAAAATGCATGCACAAGCCCTGTAGGCAAAATGATGATTTGCTTGAAGGATTTTTTTTCTCTTTGTTTAAGAATTCCTTGGGATGATTAGTAGGCAGAAGCTGAAGGTGTTTATCCTGCCCCTCATACATGGGGTTTGCAGATCTTCTCAGTGTCAGTGCTGAACCTCTGCAACAGGTAGCAATAGAGCTGAGTGGGGGATTGTTTTAAAATGAGGAAAGCAGAGCCTAATCCAGCACCTGTGAGCACCAGAGGAAATATCCCTGTTGTCTTTAATAGGCTTTGGATCAGCTTGGAGAATACTGTTAGAGTTGTCTTTTTGTGCTTACACCCACGTACACTTAGTCTTCCTTCACAGTGGACCATCCACAAAACCTCCTGGAAAATGCTAGCTTAGGGCTGTGCTTTTAAGGTCATTCCAGCTGGAGTGATGCTGATTTGTAAGAGAGCTGAACAGAGTGAAATCCTGAAGGCTAAAGCACTTGCATTGTATTTTCACTTTTTTTCAGATTATTATTAAGCAGAGATAATATTATCTCTGCTTTAGTGGACTAGAAAAATGATCCCAGCACAAGAGTCTATGCTAACCAGCTCCTTGTCATTCAGAAACCATCCTGCCATACTCTGCATTGAGTTTATCAAGTATCTGTGAAATTTTGGAAGTAGAAATGCTTTAAAAGCAAATAGTGCTTTTCTTTGCTGATTGGGGATTCTGCTCCACAAGTTGAGAAGTAATCACCTTGGCTTATCCTTTTACATATTGTTGGGATTTTATTACTCAGGATATCTATAATAATTAGACAGTGGCTAATTAAACAGGCAGTTTATTCCTTCAGATGTCCTCAATTCTTGTGCTGACAAAATTAGTGGCAGAAAAAAGATAAATGGCAGCAGGGCAGTGGACATAGGGAACATCCCTGTGAAAATGCACACACCAAGGCATTGAACTGTAGTAGCTTAACTGCACGGAGCAGATTCATGCTGGCAGACTTTTAAAAAATGTTCATAATGTAAGCACCTATGGAAAACCTTTCCAGATGATGTATTGCTCACCCTGAGTATTCACACAGCACTCAGGGCTGGCTCATCTGCATTTCAACCTTGCCTTCTGCCAGTTATTAGCAGAAGATTGAGATGAGAGGGAAGCAAATCTCATTTGTTATCAATTATTTGTTCTGTTCCAGTTTCATGGAATCAAACTCTAGTTCTGTGTGGTTTTGTTTGCCAAAGTAAGCACCGGAATGAAGCAAGTAACAACAGCAGGGCATTGGTCAGGGCACACCACAGGACCTGTTAGTGCCCTATCTAGTAGATTTAAATTTAAAATAAAATAAATAAAATAAAATAGGGCAAAGCATTTGTTTCTGCATTATTTTCTTAAAGTTTACCTTTCAGTTTCCTCACTTGAGTTTCTTAATTTAAAACAGCATGTATAAAGAGTATACAGTGGAAAGGGACAAGAAGAGTTGCCAAAAGCCAGGCATGGAAGGAGCTGACAACTTTAAATAATCTCTCCCAGCCCTCCCAGCTGAATGAGTGCTGGTTGACATGCTGTCAGCTTCAGTTCCTACAGAAAAATCCTACTCTCACTCATGCTTGTTTAATGGAGAAAAGAATTTGGCCCACTTTCTGACATTCATCTTCTCATTTCCATCACACTACAGAAGCTCACCTGCCTATGAAAAGACACATGGCGTGATTTTTTTCTTTCTGACACCACTGTAGAAGGAAGTCTGCTGAATTCAAAGGGATTAAACTGCTGTAAAATCAAATTAAGATCCCAGTTAGACCGTAGACATCTGAATTGTTTCCAGTCTCAGGATTTGGCTGTATAGGGCAGTTCTAACAAAACTTTCTTTTTTTTTTTTTTTTTTTTCTTTCTTTTTCTTTTTTTCTCTTATTTGAGATAAAGCAGCATCTTGGGTGTTTCAGGGAAACGTGTAGAAGGGAAAACTGTTTCTGGTCCAGCTTTCATATTTAGGCAAAGCTAAGGAAGCAGCAGGAGGCATTCTCAGTGTAAGATACAGGGCATTGGGCACGTGAGGATGCAGGGGAGCCTGATGCCAGATGTCCCATCAGCCACTCAGCCCTGTTGTTCACAGTTCCTGTACAGACCATGAGAGAGCCAGGGATGGTCTCTGCCTTTATCCTTACCCAATACCCAGCAAAACTCCATGAAAAATTCATTTTTTCTCTAAGCAACCTGGTGGAAGGTGTCCCTGCCCATGGCAGGGGCTTGGAACGAGATGGTTTTTAAGGGCCTTTCCAACCCAAACCATTCTATAATTCGATGATGTGTTTATGATGGTGTTTAAATAATTTCCTTAATTAGCTCAGGTTTTCCCCACCTTCAGTTGTGTTGTCTCCTCGTTCTGTAGCTGGTCACCTAGGAGCAGGAGCTCCCCATCCATCTTTACTGTACCATCCATTATTTTATAAACATTTGTCAAACATTTACAGTATCCCAGTCTTTCCAGTCTCTCCTTGTGAATGTTATTCCATGTTTATATTCTAATCTCTCATCATTCAAGCCGTTCTGATGCTTGAGAGCTGTTTTTGTGCTGGTGTGATCATTGCTTTAGAGAATTCTGGGCCGTGCCATCAGTTTATGTGATGTGTAGTGCTCTGATAATTCCCAACCTGTTCCTTATGGAGCCAATCCTACTGTTTACTTTTTAATGGTGAATGTATATTGAGCAGATGTTTGCTTACAGTGTTCTCCAGATCTTTTGTCCCGGGCTGATAAAGTTAATTCAGAGCTTTATAGGGTATGCAAATAGTGCAAGTATTTCCATCCATCCTGCTGGCTTTCTGTTCATTAGCAGAGCATTTTTGCAGAGTTAAAAAAGAAGGAATTGTATTGAGTTTCTGCTTTTACCTGGCTAGCATTAGGTGCAGGTCAGAAGGAGGTTAGAAACACAAATGAGAAACTTGTATTTGCCTCTAGAGCCGCTCAGTTTCCTATGAACGTGATTTAAAATTGTTTCAGAGGTGGTTTAGATCTGCTTCTCAGAGTCTGTGGGGGAAGGTTACAGGAACTCTGGAGTGCAGAGCTCTGTGTCCATGCTCTGCCATCTCTGTTCTAGTGCTTAGGCATGTGATCCTAAGGAAAATAGGTAAAACATAAGGATTTTTTTAATGTGAAAGAAAACTTCTATTACTTATTTGGAACACAGAATCACAGACTAGTTAAGGAAGGTGCCTCTGGAGGTCACCAGCCCAGCCTCTGCTCAAAGCAGGGCCAGTTTCAAAGTAGGATCTGACTTCAAATTTGAATTAAGTTGCTCGGGGTCACATCCAGGTTAGACTCAAGTCTTGACATTTTCATTCCCTGTGTATAGCTGATACAGTGAAACCCCTCTCTAGCTTAGGGGTTTGCACAGGTGGGAAGGTGTCCTGGGCTGTGGGACGCAATTTAAGCATTTTGGGTGAACCTTAGGTCTTCCAGTACCTGGTAGAGGGAGGTCAGCCTGGCTAACATGGATCCTCACTGTGGAAGAAATGAGCTGGGAGAAAGGGAGCTGGAGTTGCCTAATTTTGGGATCCAATCATAGATAAATGGATATATGTGCAGATATGTGTGTAGGTGGCCTGCACCTGAACTTCTCTCTGGGCTTGTCTTGCTCTTGGCTCTCAGAGGTAAATATCCAGGAGACTTCAGCTCTCTGAAAATCACAGAATTATAGAATTGTTTAGGTTGGGTAAGACCTTTAAGATCATTGAGTCCAACCATTAATCCAACATTTCCATGATCACCATGTCCCCAAATGTTAGTCTGTAGCTCACAGCAGTTCGCTGCACTTGTAGAGTAGGACTAAAGCAATTATGGGGGCAACTTTCAGCATAAACACCAGGACTCGGAACTTTTTATTTTGACAGTATTAGATAGCTTCCAGGGAAGTTTTAGAAAGCAAATGAAAACTGGCAGATGAGCCACAGCCACTTCAAAACAGTAGATGAAGAAATGGGTCAAAGGAAATAGGAAGAAAAGTTGCAAAAAGCATGAAAACTTTTTATTTTCAGTACAGTTTGTTCAAATTACCTTGAGAAAAAAACCATGAAACTGTTTTCCCGATATTATAGTCAGTCAGTGTGTTCTGAGCCATCCTATGCAAGATACTGCATAGATATTTCATCCAAAATGTAATGTTTGTTTTTTTTTTTTAAAGACAGCAAGAATGAGGTGAGATTTAAAAGGCAGAACAGACCAGTTTGGTCAGGGAAATACTGTTACTCTGCTGAGGTGTATTAAATTGCTCTGCCTTGGGCCTCACAGTGCACCCAATTCAAAGCAACAGTCTCTTTTGATGGTGGTTTCCAAAGGTGCTTGCAGTTTGAAAATTGAACTTCAAAAATAATTGCTACAAACTGTTTTCCACCTTGATTCTTCCCCCTTACTCACTTGCAGAGTGAAGGAGCTGGATCACAGAGTAGATCTGACCCAATGCAAATTGCTTCTGTAAATCATTCCAGTCTTGCCTGCCAAATCACAGGTTTTGTGTGGAAAATTAATTTCTAAATCTTGGGTTTGTTAAGGTGATTTTTTTAAAAGTGCATAAAATCTACACTAGATCAATACTGTGTGCTTGAACTCCAACTGTCCTGAAAGAGCCAGTCTGAGTGGATGAACACTTCTTATTAAATTCTAAAGGTTAACTCTGAAGTCTAATGATGGCAGAGTAGATATTAAGTGCTTCAGTTCTGATCTTAGGACACTAGAAACAAGTTGATTATTTAATGAGAAATACTGTCCTGCTTCTGACATTATGCTGTTTGTTCTTTAAGGGAAGATAGTGCTTTATGTGAAAACTTTGCTTCTTTTGATCTCCACGTATTTAGGAACTGCTGATGGAATGATAGTGATGGAATTTTATTCCTTGAAAAAAAGGAATGTCCGGATCTTTGCAGAGTTATCACTTCTCAAAAAAAAAAAAAAAAAAAAAAAGGGATTTTCAAGTAAAGTCCAGAGTGATGGTGATCTAGCAGAACTCCTGCTGCCTTGTGGTTCGGGCATGTCTGAGGGTGAGAGGGGCACATTGGTCCCTGAGGATGTTCAGTCCTTGACGTGTGCACTGGGACCAGCAATAAAGCAGAGGGAGCAAATAACCTGGGCCTGATGACCAGCTTACCTGTCTTTAAAAAAAAAAAAAAACAAACACTGAATTCACCCTGTTTTTAAATAACACCACATAAATGTTCTTTGACCAACTGGCTTCCACCCCTCCTGAAATCCTCCCCTCGTTTGTGTCCCAGCCTCTAACACGGCTCCCTGTGCTTCTCTCTCCTCTTCCTCGCAGGGCGACACGGCCGGGTTTTCTTGGGCAGCGCTCGGCAGTAAATTCAGGTCTCTGCTCGCAGCAGAACCGAGGGAAGATTTGTGACAGATGGGGCTAAGTCACAAACTTGCAGCCTCAGGCAGAATTGTGGAAGTTTCCAGAGTGTGCCCATATTTACCTGATCAGAGAGAAAAGAAAATCTGCAGAGGAAGCCGAGCCTGGCTGCTTGTCATAGCTGACACAGAGCCATCTGCCACAAACCTGTGGCGGCTTCAGATCTCCAATCCCTGCCACCACCCCAGCTCAAATTAAATACAGATTCTTAGAGACGTTATGATGGTTACACATGTCCTCGGCATCACATGCAGGAGACTGTTCAAAAAAAATATGTGGCCTGTTGTGTAACCGCACTCATGTATCCCATATGTGGTGCCACATTGAATTTCCGGTTGAATCTGTTTTTATCCTTTGTACTGGATGACATGGTGCCTGAATTCTTTCTTTTCGCCGACACGATGGCAGCCAAGCTGCAGCTTCAAACGCTCACACTTGGCTGAGTTTCTACCTAGGTTGCCAGGTTATCATTGGAGCCTTATTGTGTCCTCAAAGGGCCACAGGGCCTGAAAGGAGGATCCGAATGCTGCTGGACTAATTGGGCAGCCATCTCTGGGTTGTTGGGAGGCAAAGGGCTGCTTGAGCACTTCTCTCTCTCGCTTTTTTCTTTTTTTTTCTTTCTTTTTTTTTTTTATTGCAAATTAATGACTCTCTGGCAAAGGGGTTTTTAAGTGAAGGTATTAATAAGGGGTCTGGCAGGTAATCCCATGATTCGTGGAGTTACATTTGCATTTAATTAATCTTAAAGAAAGCTGAAAGATAAACAGCTGTAATTCAAACTAGCATGGGAAATATGCTACATGGTGCCATCTATCCGATAAAATGAAAGCCGAGACACTTGTTTTATTTCTCTCAAGGATGGAGAACAAACAGATAACAATCAAAATACTTCCAATAAAAACCAGTAGTTTAAATGTAATGGCAGTTCATCAAGAATCTTTGCATCCAGTTGCAAATACAGTCTTTTAAAGATAAATCACTTATGATTCCAGCAGTCAAGCCGCAATATTTGTTGATGTAAAATGTTTTGAAGATGTAGATTGTACAATAAATTTTTAATAAAGTGCCCACTGCAATTTTTAATTAGCATATCTCATTCATGTATAAGTGTGTACATCTATCTGTATGTTTATCACCATGCATATCCTTGTGTCAGAGTCAATGAATGCAATTGTGTCTTTATCTGATGAAGCAGAATTTGGTTTGCAAGTGATAAGAAAACCTTATGGCAATGCCAAGATTTTCAACTCTGCTCTGGGAAGAAGCAGGAAGAGGACTCTGGGTAAGGTGTTATGATGTGAAGCCTGGTAAGATTGTCTTTGCAGATAGGTGTGTGGTCTCAGGTTCCCTTGGATCAGGCAGGGTAGCTCCTCTCCCTGAAAGAGGTGAAAGGTACAGGCTGGTCCCTCTCCGCACAAATGTCTTTGTGACTTTTGACACCATCAAGAAGTTGAAATATTATTTTTCGGCATGAGAGAGAGCATGTGTTACTTCTTGTTAAAATTAACCCATGAAGAAATGAAAACCAACACCGGGAGACCCAATGGAAAGTTTTTGGTTGTTCTCCTAGCACTGCAGAGTTGTAATTTTGCAGTTATCATCCCTCTGCATGCAGGTTCCTCCTCCTTTCTGCTCAGCCAAAGCCCATCTTGGCTTTAGGCACTGCTGGTGGTTGGGTGGATGTGGTCTTCCCAAGAGCATAGATCTGGTGGTCATCCCTGCCTTGCACTCCTACCAGAATATATCATAGATGTTAACCAATCACACCTTGCACCAGCAAACTGGAATATTTTTTGGCTTTACTTCTGGGGAAACTGAGGCATGGTGCAGTTGTAGCAAACTGCTTCAAGTATCACAGTGAGTCATCCTCCAAACCAATAAAAGGGGAAGAAGAGATGCTGTAATGCTGCACTCGGGCTTGTGGTGAGCAGACTCAAAACATCAAAGCTGTGTGGTTTGCACTCAAAGGCTCCTGCTGTCCTCAGGGTACACCCTCATCAGCCCCACGGCCAGGGGAGGTCTCACCCAGCTCCTTGGTGAGGTGGAGCTGTGCCCTGCTGCACTTACTGACAGTGATACTTCAACCATGCCCAGCTCTGTCTGGTGAGCAAGGCTTCATCTTGGTGGAAAATTTTTCCCTTCTTACAAACCCTTGCAAGTAACGTTTTTTAATAGAAACTCTGTGAGGAGTTTAATTGCAGGGTAATAAATAGCAATGCTGTGTTATCTCGTGATATTTCTTTACATTCTTAGCGAAGATGCACATCTGCTCTGGAGCAAGGATCCCTGGAAGTGTTCAAGACTGAATATTGGACGAGGCTTGGAGCAGCCTGCTCTGGTGGAAGGTGGCTCTTCCCATGGCAGGGGTTGGAACTGGATAGGCTTAAAGGTCCCTTCCAATCCAAACCATTCTGATTCCATGTCCTTACCACATCATAGATTGTGTCAGGGGCCACCTTGGCCTCTTTGAGGACGTCAGTCAGGAGAGTGATGTAGGACTGCCAGGTAGCCAGAGGTGATACTTGCAGGGCTTCCAGGCAGTCAGAGGTGATGTTTCCCCCCGACAGTGTCTCCTTCAGCACTGCAGACTGAAACAATCTACGGAGTTTTGCCTCTCAGTTTCAGCAGAGGAAACGAGAGTGTCACCCCGTGCTGCTTCATTTCAACCCCTCACTTCAGAAGGTCAGAGGGACAAATGGGGATCTCGGTCCCGTTGTTCCTACACACATGAGTAAGCAGTGAATGCAGACACCTAATCCTGTGAGTAGAGCAAGAGGTAATTGAACCTTGACTTACTTTCATATTTATTGATGTTTCACCTGCATTGACACAGCGGCACCAAGACTTTGAGACGAGTTTGAGTGCAGAGTCAGTCAGAGCTGGGTTTTCCCAACTCTGTGCCAGCCTCACCAGGCAGAGCCTGACCAAACAGCTCGTCCTGCATCAGTAACAGGCCAGGCACCTAATCCTGCAATCCTTTTGTCTTAGCATTTGAGATCACAGGTTTATTCCACATGAGAATTGTCTTCTCCCATATAATAGAAAGGAAAATCCTAAAACAATTAGGGAATTCTGTAGAAAACCATTTCCAGGATTCCTAGCCCCACTCTGGTGCTGCAGGCACAGCAAGGAGCCGTGGCACTGAGCAGCTTCCATCCCTGTTTGCAGCACTGAGACCTCTGCCTCAGCTCAAAGCTGTTCTGAATTAGGTGGTTAGATTTTTCTAATTGCGTTTTTAAAGACCGAGCCAGCAGTTCATTAGAAATCACGGAGCAAATTCTGCTTCTCTATTACACCAATATAAATCTTGAATGAATTTATATCAGGATAACTGGGAGGGTAGAATGTACCTCCCATCTTGTTCCTCAGATTATTAAAAGTTAAAGGGCCTTGAAAATTAAATTCACCTTTCCCTGTTCAAGCTGTTTACTCTGTTTTTTATTCCAGAAAGGACAGTTGAAAATAATTAACCAACCTCCTTTCTGCTCATAGGCACTTTTAAGTTGGATTCTCATGTACTAGCCCAAGACTAGTTTGTGTGGAAAAGACCAGAGGGCATTTTCTTTCAAACAAATTGTTTTCATGGGAATAATTTCCCAGAGAATTATATTAAAACCTTTCCATGAATCCTTGATTTTTGGAAAAATAAAATAAAAAAAAAATCCTTTCATATATCCTTGATTTGGGAGACTTGGCAATGTATTTGCAAATATAAATGAGCACCTTAATGAAAGTCTTTGAGGATTTTACCTTCTAACAGGCTAACCTTATTTAGCCAAAATACTTCTTAGCGAGGATTCATCTTGCAGGAAATTTTTGCCTCTGAGTTACCAACCCTTGCAAATAAGGTTTTATAATAGAAACACTGATAGAACTTTAATTACAGGGCAATAAATAGCATCGCTGCCTAATCTTCAGATATTTCTTTAGATTCTTAGCGAAGATTCGCAGCTGTTGCTGATAATCAAGGGCTGTAGGGGTTGGAATTGTTCCCCCCACCCCGCGGAAGCGGCAGCGGCAGCAGCGAGCGCGGAGCTCGGGGAACGGGGAGGGGAATGGGGGGAATCGGGACCTTGGCGTCCAATATCCCACCCGCGGGAAAGCTTTTCCCATCGGCGGCGAACGGCCGAGAGGATGGAGGTGCGGGCAAACCGGGTTAAACGAGGCCAGTGGCAGCTGTAATGGTGAAAATCATAAATAATAAAAATCATGACAGTGGTAATAACGCGAGGGGCTGGAGCCGGGGGCGATGCTGTCGGGGCAGCCCCGCGGTGCTGTCGGCGCATCCCGGCGCATCCCGGCGCATCCCGGCGCTGCGGGCGGAGCGGAGCGCAGCTTCCCCGGGAAGCGGGGGACGGACACGCCGCCCGCCACTTCTTATCATCGATAATAAAAACATTCTTTTGAAAATCGGATTCTTCCGTAGCATTTCTGGAGACAGCAAAGGGAAAGGCTCTCTCCCCCTCCCATGTCCCCGCCATGGCTTTTCCGCGGGTGCGGAGCGGCCGCCCGTGATGCGCAGCCTTCCCCCAGCCCTGCGCCCCTCCGGATCTCCTGCGGTTCCTCCAGTAAAAACACAACCCCAAAAAACACCACACGAACAAAAAATACCCCCAAGCCCCCGAAAGAAATCCCGGGCAAGGAGCGCGGCGCTGGGGAGGGATGGGAGGGATGCGTGCGAGGGGCTTAACCCTTGGAGCTTTGAAGGCAAAACAAGGAAATACGTTGGAAAGGCATGTCTGTAAACAATGATAATTAGCCTTTTCAAAAATCATAACACTGATTAAAATCTCGGATTCATTATTTATTCATCACAGAACCTCTTTACAGACCTGGGAATAGTGATTAAAACCTAAGTGCTTCTCAATTTTGCACAGCTCGAGAGGAGCCTAAAAAGGGGTTAAAATGGAAAGGAAAGAGGAAACCAAGCAAACAGAATTCTTCTTTTAAGAACCAATACTTTCTTCTTCCCTTTCTGGCAGGAATACTCTTATTCCCCCAAATTTTGGTATTATGAAAATGTTTCTCATACTAAGTACAAGTGTTAGACTGAATCCAGTTGGTACTAAAATTGCAAACACACTTTCACTCCTAGAAAAGCCAACAGAAAGGAACTTCTTTTAACTCCATAATAGCAGGTTAGAGAGTAAATGAACAACTGATGGTCAACTGGCCAATTATGGTATAAATATCCGTTGTTTACAGCGAGGTGTTAAATGAGCCTTTCGAGCACAAAGGATCAGACTGTCTAAGCTACAATTTGTGCTTCATCCCATTATGTCTCCCCGAAAAAGGCCCGTGCCGTTGTAGGTAATGTGCGCACAGAACATATTTCTCTCTGTTGATTTTAGTTTGCTTTAATTCAATACACACTCTTGTTTACTTTTTAAAATTTAAATAAATGTCAGCATTGTATAATTTCTATGTTAACAAAGCAGTGAGCAAAATCCCTTGTATGTTTATAAAATATTATTGTTTAATTCACATAGTTTAGGAATTCCAAATGTTGAGAATAGGAAGGAGGCCAAATACCATCTGTTTATAACTATGATGCATCATCATATGTGTACTTTAAAAAAGAAGAAAAAAAAA